GGTTTGGTAGATTTGACGAACCGGTTCTACCGAACTGGTGCGAACTGGTAGGAACCCACCTCTGAAGTACTTGGAAGCAGAGGTCTTGGCAGCCCAAGGAAACAACAGCCAATGGCCAATAATCAACACACCAATCAACAAGTAGGAACGCACCACATAAATACGACTCACAGAATAGCCCAAAGCACTTATTCCAGTAGAGACAAGATGGTCTTCAGTAGGAATCCGAAAGCTCAGAAGAGAAAATCTCTCATTCCGGTGACCACCCACATTCAATCTCTCCAAGTTTGGTTGTTTTCTTGTAGACGTCTCACTACCTAACCACTACCCAACTTTCATTACCTAGTTTGGAAATGAAATAACATGGAAGAAAACAGGCAAGCTCAGAGAGCACCAAGGACCTCACAGTGCAAGCCAGAGCTACAAAAATAGTATCTTCTATTGGGGAAGGAAAAATAATCAGTGCTTTCTTTCTTGGCACAAATAAAGAGGCAACTAAAAGCGGGAGAGCTTGGCCAACATCACTGCCAAAACCGAAAATGGCCTGGAATCTTCTCCTCTGTTTCTCTATCCAGCTTCAGTTTCAGGGGAACTGCCACATCGGAGACCCCTTAGGTATTCTTTCATCTCACATCAGCACCCCACCATAAATAAATAACCCTTCCTGAACCAAGACAGTTTGCCTCTCCCACAGGGTGTTGACTCCAAGCGCTTTCAATGAAGCACAGATGGCACAATTAAGGTCTTCCCTAATAGCTCTTTGCTCCAGCCAAGATGCGACAGAGACGGCTTCTTAACCATGGATTAAAAGAAGGTTCTGTCACTCCCAATTATCTTACATCAGAAGAGATGCTGACTCCGGGCCCCAGAACAAGGGGAGGTTTTGGATACACTCACCGCCCTGTCCCCCCCCCCCCCGACACTAAAATTGGGAGCAGAGAGTGGGTGAGTGGGACAGAGTGGTTCCTTTTATATTCTCTCAAGAAGAATGCACTTTGATGTAGCTGAGAGCTGGAATTCATTAAGGAGAATGGAATTATGGAGGGGGTGAGCGCAAAAGAACCCAACTGCATTGAGAAGGAGAAGAGGGCAGACTATAGAGCAGGGGTGTCCAACTCTGGCAACCTTAAGACCTGTGGATTTCAATTCTGACTTCCAACTGCTGAGCTGTCTCTTCTCCTAGCAGAACAGGCTGGGTGTCAAGTCTGCAGCCATCTTTTCCTTTGGATCTTTGGCCTGCCACACTTTCTATTATTCTACTATGCATTTTCTATTGTGGAAAAAAGGGAGGGGGGAATTGTATGGAGTTAGATGCTATGTAGCCATAACAAGGTTCTTTCTAGAAAGCCAAGGTCATCCTTTGTCTTTCCACCTCTTCAACTGACCAGAATTGGATGGGTGGAAGCTACCAGCATGGCAGTGGAAGATTGGACCATGCAATGGTCTTGTGGGTGTGGGGGCAAGATCATGAATTTTCAACTGGGTGAGGAAAACCGGGAAGCTTTCAGATTCGGGTTTTCTCAGATGTGCCAATATGGCTCTCTTAATAAATTGGAACTTTGAGCAATACTTTGCCTTTTGGATGCTGTTTGGAACCCTGACACTGGGATGACACTTTGCAGACATCATGCTACTCCCGATCCATTTCATGGCAAGTGGGAAAAAGAAGGTAAAAATCTCACTACCAAAAGCAAGACCTTTAAGTTAACCATCAATAGAGCCTCTATACCAGGAGTGTCAAACTCAAGGCCCGAGGGCCGGATCCAGCCCACAGGGTGCTTAGATCTGGTCCACAGGGCCGCCCTGGAAACAGCAAAGGACCAACCTGTGGCACGTCTGCCAGCAAAAATGGAGCTCAGGAGGGACCCTAACCCTCCCGAGCTCCCTTTTCACTGGCAGAGGCTTGCGGGAGGCTGTCACAGCCGAAAACGGAGCCCATTTTTGCTGGCAGAGCACTCAGGCCACAACAGGCACTCCTAACATGAGTGACATTGAGCTGGCCATGCCTACCCTGCCACGCCTACCTCAGTCCCCCCAAGGTCCAACACAACCGTGATGCGGCCCTCAATGAAACAGAGTTTGACACGCCTGCTCTATGCCAGGTGTCCAAGGCTTTTGGACTTCCACTCCCAGAATTCCCCAGCCAACCTCGAACCTTAGTCAAACACTTAGTCCTTAGTCCAGTGTTGACGAACCTTTTCGGCACCGAGTGCCAAAACAGGAGCACATATGCACACGCATGCCAGAAACAGGAGGAGGAGCCACCGGGGTGCGTGTGCCTGCACATGCGGGGAAGATGATCTTCCAATTTCCAGCACGCACATGCACACCAGCAACTGGTTTTTTCATGCCCATGCTCACCAGAAACTGGAAGACCAGGTAGCCAGTGCGCATATGTGTGCCGGGAACCAGAAGATCATCTTCCCAGCATGCGCATACCCACAGGGCAGCTGCTCCTCTGGTTTCCAGCACTCCTGTGCATATGAAGACCAGATGGCCAGCACACCAGAATCCGAAAGAGCAATGGGCAACGGCTCACATGCCCGGAGAGATGGCTCTGCGTGCCACTTCTGGCCTGCATGTGATAGGTTTGCCATCATAGCTTTAGTCTAACACTGTTGATGGGAAAGGGTGTAAGCTAAGCCTAGTAATTGAAGCATTTTCTTGGAGGCGAGTCAGGTTACTACAGTGACTAGGAAGAGAATGGGATAGGGACCAGCAATGCAATTACAGCCTCTTTCACAACATATTTTTTATCAGTCCTGGAGAACGTTCCTTGTGGGGTGTTAGAGGATTCAGACTTTCTCCCTTTGGCATCTGACACTGCTAGAAATACACAAACTCACTCTTGCAAATCTGAAGCTCTCGCATTCCTCTTTTCTCCTGTAATTACATTTGAGGAGGGGGGCTCAAAGTGCCCCAAGTGAGGAGGAAGGCGTGGAGGGCAGATTTGGACTAAATGTTGCCAGACGGGAGGGCCGACCTTCGTTAACAGCAAGACTTTATAGCAGCACAATTATACAAAGATGGGCTCAACTTTATATGGGTAAAGGTAAAGGTTCCCCTTGCACATATGTATTAGTCGTTCCCGACTCTAGGAGGCAGTGGTCATCTCCATTTCAAAGCCGAAGAGCCAGCGCTGTCCGAAAAAGTCTCCGTGGTCATGTGGCCGGCATGATTAAATGCCGAAGGCGCATGGAACACTGTTACCTTCCCACCAAAGGTGGTCCCTATTTTTCTACTTTCATTTTTACATGCTTTCAAACTGTTAGGTTGGCAGAAGCTGGGACAAGTAACAGGAGCTCACTCAGTTACGTTGTGCTAGGGATTCGAACTGCCGACCTTTCTAATCCACAAGTTCAGCGTCTTAGACACTGAACCACCCTTTTTATATGGGAATAACTGACACATCAGGAATGTTATCTCAATTATCATTAGCCTGACAACCCGAACAAGTGGCTAGATAACCATCTATCTGGAAGACTTTAACTGACCGGTTGGACTTGGAATTCCAATTACCAAAATCTATGAAAACAAATAATTCCAAGATCTACACTTTAAAAGGAGATATAATAAAGGGGGAAAATGCTCAGGTTGAACAAGGAAAAGAAACACAAAAAGAGAATGTTTGTTTTTTCTAAGCTTCGCATGTTTATAAAAAGATATCTCCGAAGGCATGCGATGCACGTAATCCTACAAGAAAAATGAAGACTCCTCCGGCATCTTCAAAACCAACATGTCAGGTGCCAGAAAATTCTTGTTTTTGGAACAAGAGATAATATCACTACCATTTTGAAAAGTGTTTGTCTCATTTGTTTATAGAACTGGCATCCCATCAAATTATAACAGTCTGATCAGTTCATAATACACCACACAATCAGTTCAAGCATGCTTAAGCTTCCTAAAAAAAATAAGAGTAGAAATATAAAAGTTTGGATTAAAAGGCAGAACATAAACAATGTTAAGTGGAATGCACAAAGCCGGATGTTAACCTCCAAAAGCTTGTTTAGAAAAGCCAGATCTGAACGGGGTCTTCGATGACAAGAGAAAGGGACCTCTGGATCTTGGAAGGTAGTACGTTTGTTCCAAAAAATCAGTACAGTAAGAGTCAAGAAGTGCCCCCCCCCCTCTGAATTTCAGCCTTTCCAAATCTGAAACCCTTCAGATGAACGATGATTACAGCTCATGGAATCCCAACCCACCTGGCTAGGAATTATGGGAAATGTAATCAGAAGAGATTCCAGCTGAGGTTTACACAAACCACAAGGTATAAATGAAGCACTATTTATAACTTCCAGTTGTTATTGCAAAGTCGTGTCTGACGCATCGCGACCCCCTGGACAACATTCCTGCAGGCCTTCCTGTCCTCTACCACCCTCTGGAGTCCATTGAAGCTCACGCTGACTGCTT